GGCAGCCCGGGTGGCTCAGCGGTTTAGCATCGCTTTCAGCCCAGGGCCTGATCCTGGAGGCCCGGGATCAAGTCCCACATTGGGCTTCTCCGCATGGAGCCTGATTCTCCCTCTGCCTGTGTCTCTGCCCTTCTTTCCCTGTGTGTCTCTCATGAATAAATAAATAAAATCTTTTAAAAATAAAAAAGAAAGGAAACTAAGTGGTTATCTGAAAATAACTACTAGTCCCCTCTGAGACTTACTCACTTGGCTAAATCTGAGATCCTGAGGTGGACGGCTGAGATCAAACACTGCACAATGGCTTCATCCTGAGAAATGGGATTCTGTTTATAATCGCCTTAATCAAGTGTTATACAAGACAAACTGAATGGCTCTCAATGAATGTCACTGCATCTCATTTTGAAGGGTAGACTGTTGCAAGCAATGGCCTGCAATGAATCTCAAGCCTCCCCATATGTCCTTGCTGGCTGTGATGAACTCTAGGCCTACCTGTCCTCTGACTCTAAGCCACTGTTATAACTAGTAATGAAGGCAGTTAGGATGTCAAAATGACCACAAAGTGACTGCTCACTCTTTCAAACAGGGTCACTGGTTTACTACAAAAGGTGCTAAGCCCTTAGTACTGGGATCCTCAGCTGTAGTACAGCCCACGACATAAAATGCCATCAAGTAGGCTCATCATATTACCCATGGTAGTTGGAGGTAGAGTGAACCAGTGCTATCATCTAACACTCCTGGTGTTTCCGAGGCTAGAGTAGTAACATATTATCTTGCTCTAATCCACTGAGTCTTGTTATGTGCAGTTTTGACATCTGTGGAGTTCTAGGAGGCTGAAGTATAAAAACTACATGTGTTTGAGGGGTGCCTGGGTGGCTCAGGTGGCTGAGCCTCCGACTCCTGGTTTTGGCTCAGGTTGTGCTCTCAGGGTCCTGGGATCAAGCCCCTAGTTGGGCTCCATGCTTAGCAAGAGTCTGCTTGTCCCTCTCCCTCTCCCTCTACCCCTCCCCACATTCACTTGTGCATATGTGTACTCAGTCTCTCTCTCAAATAAATGAATAAATAAAAACCACACATTTTTCATAAAATTAATTCCTGGAATCTTCCTCCCAAAGCAAAATACTGGCCCAAATACAATTCCTACCTCAGGTGTACTAACCATTTATGCATTAATTACTATCAGTACAACTACCTGGCTGGTTGGACTCCCTGTATGTCTATTATGGTATATGTCCACTGAGTCTAAATACCCAAGTCTTCAGTTGCAAGCGAGCGAGCAGAAGGCAGTTTGGTCGCAAGAGTGGAGCAATGCCTAAATCAAAGGAACTTGTTTCTTCAAGCTCTTCTGGCAGCGATTCTGACAGTGAGGTTAACAAAAAGTTAAAGAGGAAAAAGCAAGCTACGCCAGAGAAACCTGTGAAGAAGCAAAAGACTGGAGAAACTTCAAGAGCCCTGTCATCCTCTAAGCAGAGCAGCAGCAGCAGAGATGATAACATGTTTCAGATTGGGAAAATGAGGTACATCAGTGTTCGGGACTTTAAAGGGAAAGTCTTAATTGATACTCGAGAATATTGAATGGATCCAGAAGGTGAAAAGAAACCTGGAAGAAAAGGTATTTCTTTAAATCCTGAGCAATGGAGCCAGCTGAAGGGACAGATTTCTGACATTGATGATGCAGTAAGAAAACTAAAATCAGAGCCATATAAAATCTGTACTGTTCTAGTTGTTTTAATCTGTCTTTTTACATTGGCTTTTGTTTTCTAAACGTTGTTTTCCAAGCTATTGTATATTTGAATTGCAGAACAATTTGTAAGATGAATACTTTCTTTTATGTGCATTATTAAAAGTGTTCTGAGTGAAGCCAATTGTCAACTTGATTAAGGAGGATTGCTTTGTGCCCGCCACCTAGTGTAAAATAAAATCAAGCAATACAATCTTAAATAAATAAATAAATAAATAAATAAATAAATAAATAAATAAATAAATGCCCAAGTCTTAAAACAATGTAATCCAGCACTTTCAGAAGTTACAACGAGGGCACCTGGATGGCTCAGTGGTTGAGCATCTGCCTTTAGCTCAGTGCATGATCCTGGGGGTCCTGGAATCAAGTCCCGCATTGAGCTCCCTGTTCAGCAGGAAGTCTGCTTCTCCTCTCCCTCTGCCTGTTGCTCCCCCTGCTTGTGCTCTCTGTCAAATAAATAAAATCTTTAAAAAAAAATTAATGAAATAAATCATAAATGATTATAACTATGTAAAAACTATGTATATTGATAAAGATTAAAGAATAAGAAAGATGGGGTGCCTGCGTGGCTCAGTCAGTTGAGCATCTAGCCCTTGATTTTGACTCAAGTCATGATCCTGGGGTCATGGCCTCAAGCCCTGCATTTGGCTCCGCACTCATCAGAGTCTACTTCTCTCCCTCTGCCCTTCCCCCCACTCACACTCTTTCTCTCTAAAATACATGAATAATTCTTTTTTTGTTTTTAAAGATTTTATTCACTTATTCATGAGAGACACAGACAGAGAGGGGCAGAGACAGGCAGAGAGAGAAGCAGGCTCCACGCAGGGAACCTAACGTGGGACTCAAACCTGGGACCCCAGGATCATGTCCTGGGCCAAAAGCAGACACGCTCAACTGCTGAGCCACCCAGGCATTCCTAAATGAATAATTTAAAAAAAAAAAAAAAGGGTAAAATAGTTGCTCTCTGAGTTTGGTTATAAATTATAAATTAAATAACTGGTATCACATTTTCTTTTAGTAGTCTTTAAAAGTTATATTGATGTAATTTTATTAAAATAGTAACCTCCTTTGGGGTACTTAAAATATGATTCAGTATTTAAAGACAAAACACACCAGGAGGTGCCTGGTGGTTCAATTGGTTAAGTATCCAACTCTCAATTTCCACTCAGGTCATGATCTCAGGATCCCATCTTGGAGCTTGCTCAAGATTCTCTTTCCCTCTTCTTCTGCCCCTGCCCTCCCAACCCACACCGTATGCATGTGCTGTCTCTCAAAAAAAACCAAAAAACCAGAACACATCAGGTAGTCACATTTAAGAATTTATTTTTTTAATTAAAAAAAAAGTTGGGGGGGTGGACCTGGGTTTCTCAGTCGATTAAGCATCAGCCTTTGGCTTAGGTCCTGATCCCAGGGTCCTAGGATGAAACCCTGCAACAAGCTTCCTGCTCAGCAAGGAGTCTGCTTCTCTGTCTCCATCTCTTTCTCTCTGCTCTCTCTCTCTCTCTCTCAAATAAAGAAATCTTTTTAAAAAATAGGGAAAAAAGAAAAAAAATTTTTTTAGATTTAATATATTTATTTGACAGAGAGAGAGCACAAGCAGGCAGAGTGGCAGGCAGATGGAGGAGAAGCAGGCTCCCCAAGGAGCAGGGAGCCCAATGTGGGGCTCAATCCCAAGACTCTGGGATCATGACCTGAGCTGAAGGCAGATGCTTAACCGACTGAGCCATCCAAGTGCCCCACATTTAAGTATTTAAATTAGGAATATGAAGACATCTTTTGTCATCCCTACTGTTAGAATGGCTACTAGATTCCATCATTTATGAATTCTTAACTCTACCCTTTTTTGAACTAGAATGGAAGCAAATAGATTAGAACTACCTCCATAGCTGCAGTAGAAATCAATTGATAAGAATATTTATCATGGGAGGCACCTACATGGCTCAGCTGGTTAAGTGTCTGCCTTCAGCTCGGGTCATGATCCCCAGATCCTGGGACTGAGCCCCACATAGGGCTCCCTGCTCAGCAGAGGAGTCTGCTTCTCCCTCTTCCTATGCTCCCACTGTGTTCCCTCTCTCGCTCACTTTCTCTCTCAAATAAATAAAATCTTTTAAAAAACTTATGATGCTATTACATCTTAACAAATAAGATAAATTTAGACTCCAGTAACTGTTTTAACCTTCATTTGGTAAACTATTTACAGAAAAATATATACAACTTCACAATACAAAAAATTATGCTAAAAACTCTTAAGTCTATCAGATACAGGGTGTCTACATGGCTCAGTCAGTTAAGGTTGGACTCTTGATTTTGGCCCAGGTCATGATCTCAGGGTCATGGGATCAAGCCTCCTTTATCATACAGAGTCTACTTAAGATTCTCTCAGTCTCCCTCTGCCAACCCCCCACCAACTCATGCACATGTGTACGCATATACACCATATACACACTCTCTAATAAATAAATCTAGAAATTAAAATATTTTTTAAAAGTCTATCTGATAAATACATTGCTTAAATTTTAATATCCTTGAGAAAAGTCAATTCAAGAAACTTAACTTTTAAAATAATTATGTAATTCTAATCTATGTCTTGTTAAGTATAAAATTTTGTTTTAAAGATTTTATTTGAGAGAGAGACAAAAAGAGAGTATGCACGTGGGTGCACAAGCGGGTAGGAGGTGCAAAGGGAGAGAAGCAGACTCCTGAGGAGCAGGGAGCCAGATGCAGGACTCAATCCCAGGACCCAGAGATCATGACCTGAGCTGAAGGCAGATGCTTAACCAAATGAGCCACCCAGGTGCCCCTACTATGAAATATCTCTTTTATTTTTTTTTTTAAGATTTTATTAATTTATTCATGAGAGACCCAGAAACAGGCAGACACACAGGCAGATGGAGAGGCAGGCTTCCTGCGAGGAGTCTGATATGGGACTCATCCCAGGACCCCAGGATCACGACCTGAGCCAAAGACAGACACTTAACCACTGAGCCACCCAGGTATGAAATTTCTAAAGAAGGATAAAATTCTGTTTATCTACATGTACTTAGTACATTTTTACATGTACCAACAGCAATCATTTAAATCACCACACTCTTAAAAAGCATTATGTGTCTTTTCTGGGAATGGATTAGGGGGTGGGAATGGAAGGGATGAGGGGTTATTCTTTGATTTGACCTTATAACCACAAAGTATTTAGATATATGTATTTTTATACGTGAAGTAATTATTACCACTTAATACAACCACCATAAGCCAAAGACAATACCTTGGGGTGAGGAAAGATTCTCTTGTAGCTTCCCCTGAGAGAGGAGTCCCAAGTAGCTGAGAACAACATATTTTGTTTCATAGTGAAATCCTAGAGGCACAGTAGTAGAGGACGCCATTGAGTTGGCTGGCAGAGCTCCAGAAGGTCTACTTACAGATGTGCAAACCTAAAAAACATAAAGGTATCTTTTCAGTTTAAAGTTTGTTACATGGGCAGCCCGGGTGGCTCAGTGGTTTAGCAACGCCTTCAGCCCAGGGCCTGATCCTGGAGACCTGGGATGGAGTCCCACGTCAGGTTCCCTGCATAGATCCTGCTTCTCCCTCTGCCTGTGTCTGCCTTTCTCTCTGTGTCTCTCATAAATGAAATAAACATATTTCAGACTTTTCTTCCCAATAATCTTTAAAAATTGTAACTTTAGTTTACTTACAAGTGAGAATTTATCAATTCAGATTTCAGATCAAAAGCAAATTTCCCCTTCTATATCTCCCTAGTTTCTGTTTTCACGTATGTGGCAAAAACACTAGCTATGTCTGTAGCTCTCCTTCCACTCCAATATATGTTCTCTTATTTCTTTTATTGTTTTAAAGATTTCATTTACTTATTCATGAAAAAGAGAGGCAGAGGAAGAGGGAGAGGGAGAGGCAGGCTCCCCGTGGAGCAGGGAGCCTAATGCAGGGCTTAATCTCAGGACCCTGGAATCATGGTCTGAGCTGAAGGCAGATGCTTAACCAACTGAGCCACCCTGGTGTCCCCTCTTATTTCTTTTAAATAAAGCTTCCCAAGGGCACCTGACTGGCTCAGTTGGTAGAGCATGTGACTTGATCTCAGGGTTGTGAGTTCAAGCCCCATATTGAGTGTGGAAATTACTTTAAAAATCTTTAAAAAAAAAATAAAAAAACAAAGCCTCCTAAATTCTAGCTAGATCCACAGCTACACAACTGCAGACCACATTTCCCAGTTCCCTAGGAGCTTACTGTGCCATACGATTAGCCTGAATCAGGGGAATACAAACAGAAGTTATGTGTGCAATCTGTGGGTCTCTCCTTAGAGACTCTCTCCTTCTTCCTATGGTTTGGAATGTGAATGTGGCAGAAAATCGGTTCTGACATGCAAACAGGGACACAATGTTAGGGGATGGTAAAGGAACAAGAGAGAAGGAACTGGGTTCCTGAATGACCACGTGCAGCAGAGTGGCCCTGCCAGGCTGGGCCAACCACCTCGGGAATGCTATTGAAGGCACCTCATTCTTTTTTTTAAAAGATTTTATTTATTTATTCATGAGAGACACAGAGAGAGAGAGAGAGGCAGAAACACAGGCAGAGGGAAAAGCAGGTGCCCTGCAGGGAGCCCGATGTGGGACTCGATCCCAGGACCCCTGGGATCATGCCCTGGGCTGAAGACAGGCGCTCAACCGCTGAGCCACCCAGGCATCCCAAGGCACTTCATTCTGAAATCTCTTCATAACGCACCCTAACTTGTACCCTAATTAATACAACTACAGCTTCTACCTTTACACATGGACTTAGTAGCTATTTTACATACCAAGTACCTAAACAGTTGTTTCAAACGTATTGTTTCCAAATAACTGTTTTCTACTTAAACAATACTGCTTTAAGATCTCAAGAAATATCCAGTAAAAGAAAAAGAGGTTCAGATAACTAATAACATGAAAAAGAGGCAATGTTGGCAAAATTTAAGACCTATAAGCAAACTAAGAAAAATGTCTAAGTGATAAACAATGAAAAAATACATGCAGAATATAAAATACACAAAATAGTGGCTGTATATAAACAGATAAAGAGAAATAACAAAAATATGCTTCAAATGGTTAAATACTGTCCTTAAAAAAATGTATTTATGGGGACACCTGGGTGGCTCAGTGGTTGGGCGCCTGCCTTTGGTTCAGGGAGTGATCCCAGAGTTCCAGGATCAAGTCCCGCATCGGGTTTCCTGCCTGGAGCCTGCTTTTCCCTCTGCCCATGTCTCTGCCTCCCTCTCTCTGTGTCTCTCAAGAATAAATAAATTTTTAAAAATGTACTTATGGTTGCAATTATCAGTATTTATTTAGGCTATCAAAAGGAATCCTAGGTGCAGCCTGGGTGGCTCAGCAGTTTGGCACCTTTGGCCCAGGGTGTGAGCCTGGAAACCCGGGATTGAGTCCCTCGTCAGCCTCCCTGCATGGAGCCTGCTTCTCCCTCTGCCTCTCTCTCTCTCTCTCTCTCTCTGTGTGTGTGTGTGTCTCTCATGAATGAATAAAAATCTTAAAAAAAAAAAAAAAAAGGAATCCTAGCTCAACATTTAGAAGTCCCTATTGCTTTCTATCTTCAGGGAGGCTACCAAATTATATCAAAACAGTAGACCTCAGACTGCCCTGTTCAACTTTAAAAGTTTACTAACTTCAGAAAGTATTTCAAAATTATTAAAACATACTCCAAAGAAAGGGAAAAAGTGTCACAGCTTACATCACAGGAATGAAAGCCATACTCACTGTAATTACAGGATGTTTTATTCTGAAAAGCTCAAAATATTTGATACTTTTACACTGTTACCATCTAATAGTGAGAAGACAATTTTAAATTTACAGATAAGAAAAGGGATACCCACAGAGGTAAAATAAGTTTTCTGAGGCCTGTCAGGTACTAACTAGCTAGTTGCAGTGCTGTAATGAATCTTCCCTTTTTGTTTTGTTTTTAAAAATTTATTTTGCCTGCCTGCTTGCCATTTGAACCCAATTTCCTATGTAGGGAGCAACCAACATTGTGTCTGTCTTGATAGGAAACAAATCTCCAGCCCCCACTACAAAAGCTAAAATGAACTATACTTTTTCTTTCCCATTGTTTTGTTTTGTGGCATGTAGGGTATGTGATCTAGGTTCAGCCAAGTCAGAGACTGCTACTAGGATCTAGAATATGGAAGGACATTTAAACTAAAGATAATTCATGGAGAAGGCTGTGGTACTAGGTCAGCAGAGGCAGCAGGCATATTGGATAGCAGTGTTCTAACTCTTCTATTCTTTGGCCTGATCCTGGGCGACTCAGCAGCTGAGTCTCCCTTGGCTCCTGCCTGTTTCCCAAACCTAATTTTCCAGCTTTCCCATCCATTCTGTGAGCTACCCAATGCCCTTTTCCTGAGTTATTTTCCTGCTTAAATAAGCTAGAATGACTTTGTGTTATTGGCAACCAAGACCTAACTGGAACAAGGGCCACATTGGAACCTAATTTTCTTCAGACTTGTGAGGCAGTTCCCCAACAACTGTAATGCACTACTTTTATGTGAAGATTATGAAATTTATAGTTTAGAAAAATCTTCACGTTCTGCAAAATCCTCATATGGACCTAGTAATTACATCTACTGAAACAGAAGACAATGCCTTCTGATAACTGTGTGTTCATTCCACACACATTTCCTAAGATACAAGGTACTCTACAGACATTAGGCACAAAGACAGTAATTAAGATAAACCACCTGCCTTTCTGCAGTTTTTGACAAGTAAAGTAAAAATATGCAAATAAATCAAAATAAGGAAGTTCTGTACGTCAGGATCCACGGAATAAGACAAGGCAACTCAAAAGAAGCAGGAAAGTCTCCCTGGGAAAGGGAAAAGGTAGGGAAAGGCTTTATAAAGTAAAATCTGAGCCAATCTGGAATATGAGTTAGGTTTTCATTAACTGAAAACCAGTGTACCATCTCAGCGTAGGGGGATGGAGCAGGGATGAGTTTTAGATGTAAAGACCAGGAAAAAGCACAGAAGTGTTTTGAAACTGCCTCGAACATTAAAACTAAGGAATCTGAAACGGCTAAATCCTAAGATTTAAGGAGGATGAGGCTCAGCAGGTGTAAATAGCAATCAACATTTGGCATGCTTTGTATACTGTGAGATTCTAGGAAGCTTAGGTTTTATCCTATAAGCAAGGAATTATTTTAACCATTTCATGAATGAACCCCCTAAAACTGTATGTAGGGATCCCTGGGTGGCGCAGCGGTTTGGCGCCTGCCTTTGGCCCAGGGCGCGATCCTGGAGACCTGGGATCGAGTCCTGCGTCGGGCTCCTGGTGCATGGAGCCTGCTTCTCCCTCTACCTGTGTCTCTGCCTCTCTCTCAACTCTCTTTCATCTCTCTCTGTGTGACTATCATAAATTAAATAAATAAATAAATAAATAAATAAATAAATAAATAAATAAATAAAACTGTAAATTCTGTGTGCATGAGCATTTTTTTCTGGAGAGAAAAATCACTCCATTTCTTTCATTAGATTCTCAAATTAGATCATGATGTAAAACAGGCTAAAAACTACTGTAGAACACTAGTAGGAACGATTGAAAGGCTTTAAGCCAAAGAAGCATTATCAACTGATTATATTCTAGAAAAATCATCCTAGAGTTAGTATAGAAGATTAAGAATAGAGAGTGGAGGCAAGGACACAAGTTAGGGGGAATACTGGAAAAATCTAAAGAGATGTATGAAGGCATGAGTTAGAGCAAGAACACCAGAAATAAGGGGATGAACAGGAAAATTAAGAACTTCAAAGATTTGTTAACTAACTCAGTAAGAGAATACTCCAGGCAGCTGTTATGGGAAGTGGTGTTATTCCTATTTCTCAGAACAGATAATAAAGGAAGAATTGGTTTAGGAGAGGATAACAGGTTCACTTTGGGGCATACATAACTTAAAAATACCTAGGAGTTGTCCAAGTGAAGATGTACAGCAAGCAGTTAGACATAAAAGGCCTTATACTAAGAGGTCTGGACTGGAGATACAGAATTGTGCTCTGCATAGATACAAGTCAATGAAATTATCTAAGGAGATTGAATGGAGAGTTAGTGACCTCCAATGGGTAGGAAGTGTCAAAAGTGAGAAAGGGTATTACAGTTTGAAAAACCCATATTCAATAGATAGTTTCACATTGGAAAGGGGAACATTACCTACTGTTTTCAGATTACAAAGTATAAACAATAAAGCTCAGTAAATCTTCAATCTTTTTTTTTCTTCAATCTTCTCTGTATCAATGACTCAGTGCAGGGATGGGAGAGAAGAATAAATGCACCCATTACTCCCTACCTCAGAATAGAAGACAGAATTTTTTATGTATCAAAAAGAGACATGGTTTAAAAAAATATGTGGAGAAATACTGGCTTCATCTGAAAAAGAAACACCATTAGAATTCAG